TCACTAAGTGCAGCCCAATACACGAGCGCACTTTCTTTTCGCACGCAGAGCTTCTGCGTGTTTGACAGTTTACACTTGTGTAAACCCCATGCTGTGAACGCCGGCTTTGCGCGCGTTTTAAAGCGGCCTAGGGACAGAAGCAGGGAATTGCTGGGCATGCTCCAAGCCAAAGGGAAGTAAATAAAGTAGAACTTTTACCTGGTAGTTGAGTTCTCTGACCTCAAGGACATTTGATTTTCCACTGTACGTGAAATACAGACTGTTATCTTCTTCAGAGCAAAAAATACTGTCTTGGACCTTTGTCTGGAGAGATTATTATTTGGATTAATTGTAATAGCTAAGTTGCTGTTAGAATTTTGAGCTCAGAGGAGAAGAAACATGAAGGTAAATACATTTAATGAGGTATAGCACTACTGCTCATACAAGTTACCGCGCTGCAAATCTGTTCAGGGTGGAAATGTGCTGTTTCTTAAGCAGTGAGAAAAATACTTTGCTCTAGAGGCACGGGAAGAGGCCAGACATGCTGCGCTGTGGTTTTCTATTTAACTTTGATTTACATGGCACTATGTCCAAAAGGGAGTTAAACTACAGTTCATTCTACTATAGGGAAATAGGATTTTATTTTGATGTTGGAGGGAAAAATTATCAACTTCTGGAATGTTAAGGTCAAAGGACCGCATACAGAAATTTGTAAGTTATGACAGCCAAAAAATTGTGGTTCCCTGTGGGTGCATTTGCTGTTGCATTAGAGCACAGTGCCTGGTGGCCCCGAGCAGGGAATTGCTGCCGGAGCCGCGGATGGGACGATTTGCTCATGACCATCCTGTCGAGCAACACACGGTAGTTGCGAGCAGTGACCGCTCAGGACCTAAGCTTTAAACACGCTCGAAATATGGAATTGATTTAACCAACCAACAGTCACGCGCCCATGGTCCTCACTACAACCGCTGCTGAGTAAACAGCTTGTAAAACAAGGGGGAAAAGGTGCCCGTGTCAGACCTCGCGGAGCATCCTGCCCCTGCTCCCTTGCCGCACCGGGGCCACCCGTGTTTTGGGGTCCCTTGCAGGACAGAACCAGCTGTGCCCAGCGCAGCCGCCCCGCGCAGCCTCCCCACGGGGCCGCTCTCACTCGCCCGGCCTGGCACCGCTGGCAGGCACGGGCTTTGCCGCTGCGTGACCCCGCGGGCAGGGAAAAGCTCTCCTCCGCAGGCTAAAGGTCCATCAGATAGCGCCCCAGCTGAGCGCTATCGCTTATTTGGTGGGGGAAGAGAGGGCGGTGGGTGCCCTCCTCCCTCTGAGGCAACCCGCGGGCACGTGGGGCCGGGGTCACTGCTGCGCTGAGGCGCAGAGCCCGGCTGGCGGCCGCGGCGAAGGCACCGCAGAGCCGCTATGTCGAGCCAGCCGTGCCCGGCGCCGGAGGGCAGCGAGAACGGGGCGCAGCCCCGAAACAGCGTCAGCGTCCGGGGCCTCTGCTACACCATCAGGTAGGGCAGGGAGGGTGCGTGGAGCCAGGAGGAGGATGAGGAAGGGTGGCTCTGACAGCTGGGAGACGTTGCTTTTGAAGGTGCTTGAAGGAGGTCTTTGGAGCAGGTCTGCCCCCTCCTTAGCTCCTTCCTGCTCCTGCAGTAAGGAGCGTGGCGGGTTGATGTCTCTGGTAAGCCAAGTCTCTGCTCACGCTCGCCGTGTTGCCATACGAGGGGAGCAAGCCCTCCAGCGGGTCAGGAAAACCCGCACGGACTTTGCTTTATCTTCCAGATAACGTCAAAGTGAAAATTTGTGTGTGGGGAAACAAATTTGTCTTTCAGCGAACTACAATCCTTCCAGGTTCCCCTCCACACAAATGCATGCGGAAAGTTGCGCTGCTCTCGCTTGCCTGACAGGTGGTTTCCAACCGCCCGTGTCTCACTGTGATGCTGTTCGGTTTGTCCCCAAGGGAGCGCGTCGGGCCCTGGTGGAACCTTCCTTCCTACCGCAAGAAATGGACGCGGCAGATACTCAAGGACGTTTCGTTTCACATGGAGAGCGGCCAGATGATGGGCATTTTAGGAAACTCTGGTAAGTCTGTTTCCTGGTTTAAAAACAACCAAACTGGAACTAATACCATCTGTTTCCACAACGGGTTGAATCTGACAGAGACCGGTATTTTAAATAATGAAGCCACAGCTGGTTTTAACCCCTGCTTTGGATAACTTGACATTTGGTTTCCAGAGCTCTGTCTTCAGTCATCCAGCCAGCAACTATAACTTCAATAACAGATAAGGTTACCTCTAAACCCAAATGTTTCCCTGTGAAATGTGAATTTGGGTAAGTTAAGTACTAGTTTGTACACCTTTGAGGTTTCCCATTTACTTTCCTTTCCTGTAACAGACCGCCTGTTTTAATCAATAAAAAATATTTTCCTATTTTCGTATCCAAGTGAGGCTATGGCCGTTGAGATTGTAAAATTCATCTCATCCCATTATTAATTTCTTTTGGTTAAAAGGGTCTGGGAAAACGACGCTTCTGGATGCAGTAGCAGGAAGACTGGAGCATAAAGACAGCTTCTTTGGCAAGGTGTATGTGAACGGGCGTCAGCTGAAGAAGGAACAGTTTAAGGACTGCTTCTCTTACGTGCCACAGGTTGATCTCTCAGTTAACTTTTGTGCACCCCAGTTACTCTTCTGCAAAAAAAGGAAGAGTTGCCAGTATAACAGAATAATGGAATCTGACTATGCTTTCAGTAGTAAAATTAGTACTAATTCAGTGATAAAAAGAAAAAAACTGTGTGAAGGGTGTGTTGGCAAAAAAGTGAGATGCTAAGTATTATAGGACTAACTGTTGCTTCCTCTTTACCTTATTTTAGAATGACACTTTGCTAAGCTTCCTCACCATAAAAGAATCTCTGACCTATACTGCTTTGCTGGCTCGTCGGAAATGCTCCAGCAACTTCATCAAAAAGAAGGTCTGTAAGCAGCACTTTCATTCCCTACTCTTTATTCTGCAATGGTAGAAAGCGGCATGTGAAGCCAAGTGACTTGCTCAGGATCATGCAGAGATTTTTCAGCTGAGACACAGTGGGGCGCGGGCTCCAGATACTGCCCTCCTCCGCGCGGGGCTTGCACCATTGCCTGGGGGAACAGTGAATATGCAGGAATAAAACCCTCCTCTTTGAAGCAACAGCCACTGATGTTGTAGATGCTGGTCTTGGTATCGTGCACAGTTCCCAGCTGTGGCTTCCCAAGTCTTTGAGGCCATGGGTCTTGGCAGTTTTCAGGGACTGCAAAGACATCTCTGATGCTGCTCTGTCTCTCTCGCTCACTAGAAGAGCTCTAATCTAATAACCTACAACCTACTTTCTCTACCAAAACACTGCATTTCAAATCTACTAAAAGTCTCTTTTTGGCCCCAGTTAAGAGTAAAGATTCCATATTCCCCGCTCTTGCTATTGGTCTTCTCTCTTCACCTATCTTCCGTTCAGCACTTTGTGCTTTCCCAGAATTGACTTGCCTTTCTGCTCCCCTATTTTGACAGTTAGACAAGCACACTGGTCTAATGATTCAGACTTTTCCTTCTTCTAGCCGCATCTCTTCCTGTTAATGGAAGGTAAAATTCTCATTGTTTAAGAATAAATGCAAATAAAATTAAAAGTATACAATTTCAACAGGTGGAAGGCAGATTACAGTAAATGTTTTTCAGTAGAATGAATGCAAGTAGCATATTGGGAAGGCTTATAGTTACTTTTTTTTTTTCCTCTCAATTTTTAACTTTGCACACTTGTATCTGAATTCAACAGTGACTAGTCTTTGTAAATTGTAATTATTTTTCAGGTAGAATCAGTTATGGCTGAGTTGAGCCTCAGCCACATTGCTGACAAAATAATTGGAAGCCGTATTTTTGTAGGAATTTCGGGGGGTGAGAGGCGTCGTGTTTCAATTGCAGCCCAGTTACTACAAGATCCCAGTAAGTACCACTACACAGATCTTCGAAATGAAGTAACATGGTGTCACTTCGCTCTCCCACCAGGCTTGTCCATCATCATCTTTAAAATACAAAAGCATTTTGTATTTTGAAATTCACAGAAGCAGAATTGTCTTGTAATGACAGAAAAAAATGAGCAATAATGCTGGTCTGCCATAAATGTATTACCTGGTCTTGGAAAGCAGATGATAATTCTAAAATCTTAGGAATGCGCATGTGGTTAGACTCGTACTTAACGGCCTCACCTCTTTCCCATGTACGAACTGTTGGTTGTGACAGATTGATTTATGGTTTGTTCGGTACGTTGAAAGCGCACGTAGGGAAGCACTGTCTTGTAGCAGGATGGCTGCCATCGCGCCCTGTGTGCGAGAGCCATGAGCCAAAAAGGCAGTCGGTGCTTGAGCTTGGCTCCCTTGGACAAGGCACCAGCACACACAATAAGTGCTGAGAGGTACCGTGGCCTTCATGTAGCAGCTCCAGTTTAGACAGAAAGTCAGTACAGAAAACACATCCCCCGGCTCCGTCTAGCTGCAGGCAGCGATGAAACGGGATTGCATTTCTCTTGATAAGAAAGCAGATACTGATGAATGCCACACTTCTGCAGATGGCTGTAGTTTTAATGCAAAGAAAAAATCGGATAAAAATCAAAGCAGAATAACTGAGTGAATGAGAGGATTAGCCAGAGAAAAGAGCAGATGAAACTTTAATTTGTCACTTAAGAGAGTTTCTCTTATTGGAAGGATATTTTGGATCTAAATGAAATGAGATCATGCACCTGGACCTGCCTACAAGAGTAACTAATGCACTTGTATCAATTGCACAAAAAAAAAGGCCAAACAGACCATACCTGCCTTTACCCGTAGGGACTTGTCCATAAAACTATCTTTTAATGTGAGTTTATGCCATGCATTTATTAGTCATATTCATATTATAGCTTCCAGGCAATTATGTCTGTTTTATTGATATATGTGGTGAATTTTATCACTATTGTTCTTAGAAGCAAATGTATTCATCAAATTATTTTGGTAATTTTCAGAAACAAATGATTATGCTGTATTCCTGCAGGTCTTATGTCCTTGTTTTTAGTAGTTGAAACTGAAGTAGGTCACCATTCAATTCAATATGAAGGAGAATCATTATGGTTGGAAAAGACCTTCTAGATCATTGAGTCCAACCATGAACCCATCACCACCACCCTGCTAAACCATGTCCCTAAGTGCTTTATGTACGTGTTCCTTGAACACTGCCAGGTTCTTCCTGTTACAGTAAAACAAACAGCATATTTTAATACATTGAAGTATCAGGAAACATGCCTTTAGCAAGCCATCCAGCCCTTCTGCTTGTCTCAAAGAAGGGCCACTGGTATCTCCATCATCTTTGACATGTTTACTTCTTTAACCAGTTCCCTTTTTTAACCTCCACTGATTTTACAACTTTCCCAATCAATCTCTAACCTTAGGACCTCCAAAGCAAATTAGAGCTGAAAGATCAAGCTATAATGATTGATTATACGTGCTCTGCTTTACATGTGGAGTTTTACATGTACAGTGTTCTCTGTAGTATTTGTCAAATTACCTGTGAGGGCAGAAGTTGTAACATTTCCTCCCCATTTCCTTGAGTTTTAATGACATTTCTCGTGTTTCCACAGAGATCATGCTCCTTGATGAACCCACCACAGGCCTGGACTGCCTGACTGCAAACCAGATCGTCTCCCTGCTCTCCAAGCTGGCACACAGGGACCGCATCGTCATTATTACAATTCACCAGCCTCGCTCAGAACTCTTGAAGGTAAATGAGATTGCTCACTAACAGCTGCTTTTTTTACCCGTTTTGTCAGACTTTAGAATGCTTGAGTTTGGCGGGGG